CCTTAAAATTGAGGGAGACTTTTGAACTAGGGGGATGCACAAGATGTTTAGGAGAGACCTCACATTTGGTCTTTCTTGTAGATGGGGATTAGCCATCAGATAATTCCTAGAATGTCTTCTTAAGCAAGAGAGCTAGATCTTCACTGTTTTGAAAAAGAGGGCCCTTACCTTTTACTGTACTAGAGCTTAGCCAGAGTATCACTAGAAAATCAATAGAGGTAGCCCTTCTTTAAAATAACATAAGCAAAAAAAGATGAAGAGGAGAGACAACTGCTCTGGATAATGTCATAAACTACAATGACAATTGTGCCTGGTTCATAACAGACCATAGCTGAATACACCTAAGTACACTCTGATTTATGAACAATTGTCTTAGGTGTGCTTGTTCATCTATCTGTTAAATTTGTGCCAATCACAAGTTGCAACACCTACAGCTATTTTGTTTGAGATCACCAACTTCTTTTTTCTTTTTGTTTCTGTTTTTTTTCTTTTGAAATTTCCATAAAAAACAGTTTATGTAGGTTAAAATATTTATATCTACAACTAATGTTGGCTGATAGATAAAATAAGTGTCATTAAAGTTAAAGACATGCTTCCATGCAGGTTGCCAGCCATTCAAGATGATATCAACACAGGTTTTACAAATACCATGCCTATTGTCTGTGTAAAAACTTGGGAGTGTTAATTGTTATGATCTGGTTTCCATAAGTAATCTGAAAAAATTTGTTAAGATAACTAGATGGGGATCCCTTAGGCTTAAGGAAACTGCTACATAAGACTCCTTTTGGTGAATAAAGATGCAGCTACCTAGAAAACAATTATTTTGGTCTTTTTTCACTAACAAGACTCCTGGTAACTTCCATAACCTTGTGGGAGATACAGTCTAATAAACATTGCTAAATATGCTACTACAATATGTTCATATTGATTATCATTAAAGGGATAAGTTCTAAATATGTTATTGTTATATGTTTACACTGGTTATCATCAAAAAATGTTAAGTTCTCTATGACTAAAACAATAAAGCTTTCTTTTAAAAGATACTCTTGTACAAAACTAAATTAATAGACAAAGGTTTCCATATAGCTATCGCATTCATTATTGCTGATTTCATGATGTATGAAATGTATTCATGTTTTCTGGGTTGTACAGGTCTTCAAGGATACAAAACTAAAAGTCTCATTATATAGACAAGTCTCCTAGCTAAGACTATTTATGATGATAAGCTTTTTTTATTTTTGACTCCAATGTCTGCCTCTTTCTTACTTTTTTTCCAGCTACTTGTGATAAGAAATACATGTCAAGACAATATGAGACCACCAGCTAAATGATAATTTTCTTTTCTTCAAAGTTTATGTGATGTGTACATTATATATGCGTCATTACAATTAGAGGTGGCTCAAGTACTGAGCAGTCCATACAGCGTCACACTAAAAATTAAAGGTTAGACATTAACAATTTAAAAGATACATCTATAGATATATTCTTTGATGGGGCCCTGTTAAAAGATAACAAATTAAGTAAAAAAAGATTACTTTGTGTCATATAATATTTTAGAATTAAATAAAGATAACTGACTATAGATCTATTCTATACTAAGGTGGGCATTTAAATGTGTTTCAAAAAATAGCAGTCATCATGATGATAGAATGCTGTGTGGTCACTGATCTTAGGTATTCTCTGTGGAACTTTATAATTGTTCTCTATTTTTTTAAAAATAAGGACTAAAGTCTATAGTTTACAGACTACTTAAATAGAGACTTTTATGAGAGGCTGGCAACTCCTGTAATACTGCTATTATTGGAAGGTGCCTAATTCATAGACTGGTTCAAGACCTCAGCCTCACTAATAAGGCTGTGGTGCCTCTACAACTTGTCATGCCCAATCCCTATGCTTGGACACAGATTCCAGCTTCAGTCAGTTGCTTTTCTGTCTTAGATTTTAAAGATGCTTTCTTTTATTCCCTCAGCATTCAACAGTCAAAATCGCTTTGCCTTTAAAAACTCACTTTACAACGTTTGGATATCTCACCTGGACAGTCCTTCCACAGGGGTTTTGAGGTAGCCCTCATCTTTTTGACCTAGTCCTAGCACAAGACCTGATAAAATGGAAAAAAGATATCACCTTCTTACAGTATATCGATTATTTGATGCTCTGTGAGGACACAGAAACCTAAGTATGAAAGGTAACTCAGCCCCTCCTTAACTTTCTGGCCTCCCAAGGTTACAAAATGTCCTGGATGAAGGCCTAAATCTGCCAGTCCCAAGTCATCAATTTATGTCTGCTTATTTCTCAAGATATAAAGATGCTATGTTCAGAAAACTCAATCCATTCTAGATTTCCCTCTGCCAAAACACATCAAAGAGCTAAGAGCCCTGCTGTGGGTGACTGGGATTTATATAATTTAGATTCCAGGATATATTTAAAAGGCCAGGCCCCTTTTACCAGCTTCTGAAGGAAAGCCAGGCCTTAGACACCCTAACAGTAGCACAAAAAAGAACTTGTATGATTATAAAAGCTAAATGGTATGTGTATATTCCTGATCCTTCTGCTAACATCTCAATTACTGCTCAAATTGTTATATGACAGGTTAATTTCATGTCATATTCTAAAGCTCCCTATACCTTTCCTTTACCCTCTTTGTGGGAGGCCAGCACTGGCTCTTCCTGGTGGAAACATTTGTTGGCCACATTAATAACAGTTTTGCTAATCTCATTGTTTGATCCATGCATACTTAACTGGCTCATTGGTTTTGTCTTCTCTAGACTTAAAGATATATAATAGCCTGGATATCTATATAAGGTCATAAAATTAACTGTCCCCACTATACTGCTGATGGAATTGATCTGCTCTTGATGGGTGTTTAAAAACTCAGGTTTTAGAGACCAAACTAAAAAGATAACTGGGCTAAGAGGACAGCCAACTTTTGGGCCCTGATGTTCCAAGCTCAACAAAGACTCAGGACATGTGGAACCTTTCTACAGGATCCTATAAGTTTGGTGAGTCATCCAACCTCCCAAGAAATGATAGGCCCTAGAGGACAGGACTCAACCACTGTACAGTGTGGTAAAAGAAGGATCACCAGACATGCTTCCACAGGTAGTCATGGTCAAGCAAGACCATGACACAGGCTGGTGGCTAACATGATAGAAGAGCTAAGAGGCTCTGTACATGATTTGAAAAATAATACCTGAGGAACCTTGACTGACCTCTATAGGTAACAAAAGGTTAATTCTGATTAACACAGGTCTCATTTTAACTTGGTTTTGAACACCCAGCAAAACAGTGTAACCAAAGACATCTTAGAGTAATAATAATATAGACTCAACATAAAAAGGGGGCTCCAATCACTGACCCCTGCTGAGAGTTTCATCTGAAACATCTAAAACAGGTCTAAGAGCCAACTGGTTATAATCCCTTCAAAGCAGTGTTTGGATCTGGCTCATCCCCCAATCTGTCTTTCCATTTTAGTGTTCATTCTTTTGTCATATATGCTTTAACCTCTTGGTAAAATTTGTTTATTCTTGCCTAGAAGTTGACAAACTCCCAGTGATCATGCAAATGGAACCAACAGTAAAGATGACAGACTCCTTTTACCAAAACCCATCAGACAGCCCTTCCTGCTGAAGACTTCCATCTGCTGCCTCCTAATAATGATACAACTCAGTCTGAAGAAGCCAGGGCAGTTGGCACCCATTTCTTCATCAGTAGTTGGATGGACATTTCAGAGTGGGAAATGAAAGGACAGATGAAACAACAAAATGAAATAGAGTTCTCCTTAGGTCTTCTAGATAAACCAGACTAGAAAGAGTTAAAAAGCAAACTTTACTAAAGAGATTCCCCTGGGAAGCAAGTCAAAGCCGAGGGGAGAAAAAAAAAAACAGATAAAGGCACCAAATGGCCAGGGGACTTTCATCAAGAGACCAGACAAAAACCTAACAGGCAAGACACTATATTATTCACTCTAGGTTAATAGAGTACAATAGACAAATACACACCCCTTCACCAATTCTAACCATGAATAAGGCACTTCCTTGCTATCCATCCCAAAGATAAGATTTAAAGGTTTTAAAGGTCAAGGACAGGTAAACAGACAGAAAGAAGCTCCACACAGGTAGAAGAAATGGTACTAAGCAGAGTTGCTTTGAAGCCAATCTGGTTATGGCAAGTTCCCAGTGGAGGGGAAGAGCTGGTCACATCCCTCTAAAATTGTCTAAGAAAAAATGGTTCCCGGATCCTCCATCTTTCTGGAGCCCTGTACCCTGATTCTTTCTAACAGCATAGTTATCTATCTTCTCCTTTCTCCCACTTCCTTTTTCTCTTCACAAATAGTCTTCCTTTTGTTAAACTTTGTCCCTCTAATTTTTTATTGGGGCTAATATAATCCCAGTGGTCTACATGAACAACAGAGAACAGCAGTGCTCATCCTCCAGATGCAACAATTCTACCACCCATCTTGATAAACACTACTTACTTTCATTACTCCCTTCGGTAAAGGAAAGTCAAAGAACCAGACACAACCCTCAAGGGTTGTGCAAAGCAACCAAGGCAGGGTGAGGAGGTTTCAGTTGCTTCAAAGAAAAACAGAGGAACTTAGATTTATCTTGGAAGGGAAAGAAATATTTAATAGGAGATAAAATGATAACATTTGGATTTATAGATTCCTTTGGCAGAGGAGGGTAGTGCAAATGTGGATCCTAGGAAAGCCAGTGCTGAAGATTGTTTGAGAAAGACACTCATGCATGTGTACAACTGCACATAGGTTCCATGTTCACATCTTGTCTAGAACAGGGAACAATTCACTCTGAAAGCAAAACAAACACACAGGTGCTCGCTCTACCTGCTCCTTTCCCACCAGCCATAGACATGGCACACACATAAATACACACACATATGCACACTTGTGCATGCGCACACACACATCCAGGCAGGAGAGGAGTGACAAGAAAGGCAAGCACAGTGGGAGATCAAGGCCAAGGCTCTGCTAGGATGGAACCCACCTTTGCAGCTCTCACAGCAGGTGCCCCTCTGCTTGATGGCCAGAGCACAGTCCCGTGGCAACCCCGGGCACTTCTCCCGCTTGCAAGTCACTTCCTTGTTCTGGGTAAAAAGAGACAGGAGACATAGGAAATCAGTATCTTAATCCCCAGAACCCTGATCCATGCTCTTCCTTTTCCTCCTTTTCCTATCTTGCCTTCGTCTTGGCTGGGGAACATGGTGATTTCCTCTCTAGAACAGAAATATCTGCCAGGAACACAGAACACAGGGAGAGCAGGGGATGTATAGAGATGACAGACGTTTAGCCCAGGCTGGCCTCAAACTTATGGCAATCCTTCTGCCTGCACCTGTCAAGTTCTGGGATTAAAGGTATATGCCACCATACTAAGCCAGTAATACTATCATCCCCATTTTAAAAATGAGAAAACCATAGCTCAGAGCAGGTAGCTGACCCATTCAATTTGACAAGCTGTAAGGTGGCAAAGTGAAATTCAGACTGAAATCACCAGCACACACTTCCAGCGGGGGTCAGGTGGTTCTGCTACCATCCTTGGCTGATGTGGGGGCAGTAGGAGAGGGCACCTGACCAGCTCTGTCACCTTGGTATGACCTAGACCAATGGTGGCGAATCTATGGTATGCATGCTGCAGTGGCCACACAGAACCCCTTCTGTTGACATGAGAGTCAAGTCTCACCAGCAGCCGAGCATCAGATAACTGTTGTTTTTTTCTGAACTAAAACCTTAGTATTCGGGTTTAATGTAGTGCTGGGCCTTTGTGATAAATAAGTAGTTTTGGGATAGCAGTTTTGGTACTCAGACCTTAAAAGGTTCACCATCACTTATCTAGACCATTCCCTGATGTTTAGGAGACTCTACCTATGCCCGGCCAGTGACCCTGAGAAGATTTGTGAGTCTTCCAGCACATTTTAAACATCATGAACAAGGAAAATCTTATATCTATGGTACAGAACCACTGAGATATGTATGTATGAGTAGAGTGAATATGTGTGTGCAAGAGTGCTGTGAGCGCACTTGCGCATGCATGCGTGTGTATGTGTGTGTGCTTGTCGTGGGAACTGGGAGCTTCAGTCCAGCCTTATACAAAGCCCAGCCAGGGGTATTGTAGGATAACACTAATCATTCATTCTTTGGGTTCCCCTCAAACAAGCTCCCAGGGTCTGATGCTACATTAACCCTGATGCCATCCCAGGCCATGATTGTATCTCCAGGACCTCAGGATCTCTCCACCCCCTGCTCACAGGTCCCAGCTGCCTGTTATTCTCAGGGGCATGGAGAGAGCTGGGCCTTCTCTTGCTTAGTCTCTGCCTCAGGCCTCTCACTCCCCTGTCTGCAAGGGTTTGCAAGGCTACCCAAGGGCCACAACATCACAGGACCTGCCCAGGCACAGGACCTGCCCAGGCACCCAGAGTACATCAGTGTGGCCACCCAAACCCCATCTGCCTGGACCCCATTAGGGCTGTTGGTTGTTAACCTTGTTGTTTCTGTCACTGGTGTGTTTTAGGGTTAGAGTTAGGGATAGGTTGTGTGGGGGCCTGAGTAATCCTGTTTCCCCCTTTCTCTTGTATTTCTGGTGTCTGTTCCGTGGTTGGCACCCTCATGGCCTGATCTTGCTTACTCTGTGGATCCTGGAACGGAGCCCTCACCCTCTCTGCAGATTGCAGCCTTCCTGTGGGTCCCTCACGGAGGCCAGGGCTACTCCCACCCTGGGAACCTGATTCTGATTACTCTAAGGATGCATCACTAGTGTGTCTCAGGACCAGGGGTTTCCCCTGTGCTGCCAGGGCTGAGAGCCACTGAGGGAAGGGAAGTGTGCTTGTCCTCAGGACAGTATGACAGGTGATAGAGCTGCACAACTGTGGTATGGAGGCTAACTCTAAGTCATACCCCATAGACTTATTCTTACAACTTTCTTACATTACAAACATAACCTGATCATAATTCAAATTAAGGAAAAAATTTAAAACTTTTGTCTAAAACTTTAAAATATCATCCACCTTACTCTCACCAAAAGTCATCAGCCATAACTACATTACATATGCTGCTTGCCATTATTAACCATGACTGAGCTATACTACATATTCCTTTAGCCAGCCAATCCTGATACCCATTTCCTATTTCAGGATGACAGAGAAATGAAGTTCTACAGCTTCACCAACCCGGGCAGGGTCACTGTAAATGCATACCCTCCCTCCTACAGAGCATGGTGTTGGGACCTGGGGAGGTTAGAGCTCCTGGACAGGCAGAGGGGTGTGAAGATACGAATGGGAACTGGTAAATAGCAAGGCATAGAGTCTCAAATATAGGAACCTGTGGCTAAATTAGAAATCTGGGGGCTAATCAGAACTCAAAACAAGATTCCAAGTTTCATAATAAATGGCTGTAATTACAGTCCAGCACAAAAGCTATTCCAAACAGATGGTCTGCAGACTCACATCTGGAATTTGTTTTACACGCACACACACACACACACGCTATTTGTTTTAAGTGGAGTCTTCCCCCTTCTGATTACACTTGGAGTTTTCACACAGTCTATCAAGAATCATGCTGGTGTGTAACTGCCATACCCAACCAACCATTCCCCCTGGTGTCTGACTGGCAGGTATTTGAAGGTTTTTTATGAATCTTGGGCCCTCAAAGAAAAATAAACAAAAATAAAAGCTCCAGATAATCTCTGTGAACAGCTCATTCTCCCATCTACTTAACTGAATGCAGCAGCTTCTGGGTAAATTCAAACACAGGTTAATGAAGACCATGCAAGTTGATTCCTCATTATGCCAAAATTAAGCACACTCATCCTGAGCCAGGGGCTCTGGTGGGTAGTGTAACAAGTAGGCAATGCCTTCAGGGGTCCATCACCCCCAGACACCCTGACCCCCAGCAGCACCCACCATTATTGTGGCTCATCTAGTTCACATTTTCATTCACAAAACATTATCTGAAATCAACACATGTAATCCCTGTAATCCCAGATCTCTTGGAGGCTGAAGTGGGAAGACTGTACATCTGAGCCCAGCTTGAGCTAATTAGAAAAACTCTGTCCCAAAGTTTTAAAAAAGGGCTGAGGGTGTAGTTTAGTCTGAAGAACCTGGGCTAATCCCAATACCATGAAGAAAAAAAAAAAAAGAAAAGAAAGACCGGTTCATAACGCTATCCTCTTTCTGTGGTGTGTCCAGGCTGTGCACTGCAAATCTTAGCCACACGTTGTCACGAAAACTTCCTTATCATTCTCAGTTCACAGATGAGTATGTAAATTTAATTAACTTGTCCAGGGGTCAAAAGAGAGGTGGTCTAGCAGGATAAGGCATTTTCTCACAATCCTAGTACTCCCAGGTATTTGAGGTACAGGATGAAAATAGAGCAGTGTCTCTTCCCCTGGAGCTGAGCCTTCCTGGGTAATGACTCTCACAGAGAGGGCAGATGATATAGGAGATGAAGTAGGACTTCCAAAAGATATAAGGAAAATATTGTAATTCTCAATCTGTTAGATGTCTGATATGCTGAGTTCATGTTCTCTAAAATCAAAGAATGAATTCTAAGAACAACATAGGTTAAGAGTAGGAAATATTTATTGTGATGATAGCTTCTGAGAGGGAGGAGGGGTCTCAAAAGTGTTGCTGAGGACTCTATGTTTCAGGGGAAGCTTTCTAGAACAAAAACCACATGGGTACAACAGAGGTTAAAGCTGCCATCAACCAATAAGGTTACAAGTATAATCATTTAGGTAACAGTTATCCAATGGGGGGACAAGTCACATAACAAGTGTACATGGAAAGAACAAAGACATTTTCTAGGAAACAATGGGTCTGGAGGTTTTGGTCACCCACCTGGGTTACTGATGCCTTTCTAGACTTCTATCTAAGCCAAGTGTTGTCACTTATCTTGTCCTTTTGAGAAGTATGCAAGTCTGGTCATTCCATCTTTATCTTGAGGCCTGGTCTCTAACAGATGTGTCTCTGGCCATGGTTGTAGTATGTCTTCATCTTTTGCATCAGTGTCGAGCCCTATCTGACTCCCTATAATACTTCTACTTAAATTTAATTGTCTCTAATATCCTGGGACCACAACATCCCCCACTGCAGTCTGCAGACACCCGCTATGTTCTTGTAACAGGAAAATAGCTTTGCCCTGGGTGTGGCAGTGAGGTGCCTGTTATACCTCTGAAAGCCAGACTGTCATCCCTTACCAGTCTTCTCCAATTCTCACGGCTGATAGTGGGGCCCCCCAGTTCTAAGCAAACATAAATGATGGCAAAAAATCACTCAAGAAAAAGACAAGAACACTGACAATCTAGCCCAGCTGGCCAGCAGGACAGCACATCTCCTCGAACCTCTCAGCCTTGCCTCTGCCTGGTCTGTGACTCATGGGTTGGCCTGATCCCAAAAATGTCCATTTGTACTATGCCTTCTTTCTGAGGGAGGGGCCCCGGACATTCCAGTGCTGATCACATATGTCACATCCGACAGTCTCAGGGCACCCTCAGTGAAGTGCCAGCATACATGAGTTTAGTGCAGGGAGGAAACAAAAAGAGAAGAATCCATATGCCCAGCAACAAGGTCCATCAGGATGCAACCCAAACTGCAGCCCCATTCACAGATGGCAAAATTCAAGCTATATTCCACAGCTGTACAGTGTGCCTGAGACTGTCACCAGGTGGCAGCACAAGAATTGCGGCTGAGTCTGGAGCAAGGAGCATTTTTCCAGTGCTCTGGATGGCAGAACCTGTCTCAGATGAAAGGAGTGCAACAGGACAGAATGCAGCAAAGCACAGCTGTCCAATGTCCCTGTGTGCCTTCCTCCACCAGAGGGAAGAAAAATTTTGAGAGGCTTTGGTTAACATTCCTTGCCAATGTTTTAAAATAATTTTTTCAAAGATTCTTTCAGAAGAGATGCTACTGTAGACCATGGAAAGTATTGCTGGGCCTTTAATTCATGTTAGAAAAAAAAAATAATCTGGAGACAAAAACAGCAGCTACTAGATGAGACAGTGAGAGAGGTGTCCCTGACCCAGGCTATGTTCTCAGGGTGACACAGTGTCATGAATCCCTTGAAATGAAAATAAAGGTGAAAATGCCTGATGCCC